ATGACATTCAAAGCGTAACGAAATATAGGAAATAAAATAAAATCAAGTTGAAGTTTAAAGCTGATGCCAGATAAAACTTTGTAGCTTTGCGTGACATTTATAACTTTGCCAGCAAAGCGCCAGACGCAAAAGGTATGCCACAATGAACGCCAAGAAAACAATGTTGTACCGCTTTTTTACTCATCAAAGTTGCTGTAGATTTTAATTATTTTGATTTAAAATTATCAGCAATGTAATTAAGTTTTATGTTTCTGCATGAAACCCCGAATTTGGACGAAACAAAATAAATATTAAACCGGCTGATGGCCAAAGCGCGCAAAAAGATGGGAGTTGACCATCTTTTCGCTTCGCGCTGCCGCTTCAACGATTTATGTGGCATGCTTTGTGCATTTTCATACAATTCATCTTATCTGTCAAAGCGAATCTGTCACGTAAAGCGAAGCAAAAGTTTTATGTGACATCAGCTTAAAGGTTTGGTTCTCATGAGAGCAACGTCATTTTGGCTTCTACCTGTATTTATGTGCCTTGGCCATACACAAATAAAAACGTTGAGATGCGTCATGATTCAATAATTAAAGGTTTGCTCCATGGTGGAATAATACAAGGTGTTGGATATTGACAGCGTTCTCGCTCTAATCCGCCATCTTGGCTCCCTTAGCTATATCGGTGTTTCCTTCCAAACCATCAAATTCAATTTTGTGATTTGCGTAAATGCCAACCAGCTGTTTTTGATCAGCTGTTTTCCTGTTGGCAAATTGCTGTTGGCAAAAATTTTTCCAGCAGAAACCAGCAGCTTCCCCTCAAAATGAAATGTCACTTTGCTCTCTCAATTTCCCCTACTTTGCAAGTTTTTTGCGTACGCGAACGCAAAAACTTGTAAGTTTTGGTTAAATATTAGTTGTGTTTTCGTATTCTCCAGCAAAAAATATCCAGCAACTTGCCAGTAACCAAATTTCGGAGAGTAAGCCAATATTTACTCCCAATGAGCGAAATATGCAAGAAAGTGCGAAAACGCAAAACCAGCAAGAAGTTGCTAGTTTTATGAACAGTTGATTAATTTGTTATTTTCCGATGCAATTTTCTCAGAAAACTAGTATTTTCTATCTTATTATAAATTTAAATAGGTTTATTTTGTCAATTGAGACTCTAAAGGCACCACAAACAATTATTTTGTTAATGTGAATAACATTAAGCATCATGCCATCAGCTGTTTTTCTTACTAGCAAATAGTTGCTAGTACAAATTTATCCAGTAAAAATCCAGTAAAACTTGTAAGTTCAGCGGTCATTTTTGCTCTCCCAATTTCCCCTCTTTTGCTAGTTTCTTGCAAGTTTTTGCGTACAAAAACGACATCCAGTAAAAAACCAGTAAAATTAGTACTGGATTTACTGGATAGTGCGTACGCGAACAGGGCTATTATCACTGAATTGTTGAAACACAAAAGTACATCATAATAAAATATGTAATATCGAATTAAAGATAATAACTTGTACTTTCTAAATAATATAAATTTCTTTACCATTAATTATGCAGTTTTTTTCAAAAAAGATTATTTCATGAAAAAATAACATTTGTTCGTTTTTTAGTGGTTTTGGTTTAAAAATACAAGAAGCTATAAATTATGTACACCAGCTAAAAGACAAATTAATTATCTTTATGGTGGCGTCATTAGTTTTTTTATCGGTTATACCTACAGTTCGTAAGATATTAATATTTAAAAAATTTTAAAACTGAACTTTAACCTTCTAGAACGTCTTGATTTTCTTACTTGCGCCAAATAATTTTGGCATGGTTGAAATGAGCATAAAAAGTTCTATTGATCTGCAGTTTTTGTTTTTGCATAGCTGAACGATCGGTTCTAGGAAATGATGAATAACTTAAATCAAAAATGCACATATTTTTGTATTGTTTAGTATTTCCATTAAAACACCAAATATATTGCAAAATCGCATAGAATAAATAATACACATTTTACTTCCAATTGTATACTTTGCGTACTTTTTGTAGNTGGCTGTAAAAATTAATTTTTCAAATAACTATCAAATCCCATGGTGACAACTAAAAATTTAAACATTTTCAGTCAAAATTAAATACCATTTTAAAAACAGTTAAAAACTCTTATTTTGAAGCATTNGTGTATGGCTGTAAAAATTAATTTTTCAAATAAAAAAAAATTCAAATTAAATACCATTTTAAAAACAGTTAAAAACTCTTATTTTGAAGCATTTTCCTAAATTTTCAGTGCTTTAAAAGAAAATACCAAAAATCATCTTGCTTAAGCTATATATAATCGAAACAAACACAAAATGAGCATATCAAATGACTCCGAAACCCTACTGGAGCACATGTGCCAATTGCAAATCGATGGTCCAACTGTGGGGCGTCGCCTCACCAACATTATCTGCACTATTGGGCATGCCACACGTGATAAGGAGATACTGAAAGAGCTTATCAAGGGCGGCATGAATATAGCGCGACTTAACTTTTCACACGAGTCGCATGAACAGCACAAATCAAGCATCGACCTGGTACGCGAAGCATCTGCTCTCGTTTCCGAAGAAGAAGGTTATCGCAGACACATCGGCATCGCTGTGGACACCAAAGGACCCGAAATACGAACTGGTTCATTCGAAGGCTTCTTTGAGGTGGAACTCAAAAAGAACGACAACATCCGACTCTCCATCAATAAAGATCTCATAGACAAAGGCAGCAAAGAGACTGTTTATGTCGACTATCCGAATATTATCAACATCGTGCAGCCGGGTAATATAATTTATCTCAGCGATGGTGCCATTATGCTACTGGTGAAGGAGGTGGCAGTGGATTGTGTAATCTGCCAGGTGGAAGTTGGCGGTATTTTGGGCGCTGCCAAGGGAGTCTGGCTTTCACGTGTAAATATCGATTTGCCACCAGTTTCCGAGAAGGATCGCTACGATCTACGCTTTGCCGTGGAGCACAACATTGACTTCATTTTTGCATCGAAAATTCGTCATCCCGCTGCCATACGAGAGATACGCGCTGTTTTGGGCGAACGTGGCAAGGACATACAAATTATTAGCAAAATCGATTGCGCACAAATTCTAAATTACTTGGACGAAGTCATTCTCGCCTCCGATGGTATCCTTATCGATCGTAGTAGTTTGGGCATTGAAGTGCGGGATGAAAAGCTTTTTCTCTTACAAAAGGCAATAATCGCGCGCTGTAATCGTGTAGGTAAGCCGGTTATTGTTGGCACACAAATACTCTCCTCAATGAATACGGAATCGCGACCCACACGCTCCGATGTCGCTGATCTGGGCAATGTTGTACTTGATGGTGTGGATGGTGTAATGATTGCTAGTGAAAGTGCGATTGGGAAGTATCCGTTAGAGACACTGAACCGCTTGGCGAGTATTTGTGCTGAGGCCGAGGCTGCCATCTGGCATCGTCATTTACATCACGAGCTCTTGCTCAACAATCCAGCGGTAATTGATGCAGTGCACGCGGTGGCTTTGGCAGCAATTGATTCCGCACAGAGATCTATGGCAGCGCTTATTGTATGCCTGACGACGTCGGGCAGATCAGCGTATATGCTTAGCATGTATCGGCCTCACTGTGCCATTATTGCGCTGACGCGTTGCAGTAGGACGGCGCGACAATGTCATTTGCGGCGTGGAGTGTACCCGGTTTTGTATTTGGGTAAGAAATAGAATGGGGATAATGTCATATTAGAATATGTGCTTGTGGAATGAAGAAGAGAGTCCTTTTTCTGTAGTCACGCTCTATTTGCGTGCGGTGTAGATTAGGGATGTTAATTTTTTCGCTTTTTACGATTTTCGGGATCTCGTTAACACAATCCTGGTATTCCGGTATTAGTCCCTGGATTTAGATATTCATTATTTTTCAACAACTTTATTCGAAACAATTTCTTCTATATTGTTTGAGAAGCTCTCCTACCATAAAACAAATAATAAATAAATGGGTTTGAAACCTACTCTTTTATTTAAAGTGCAAATTATTGAATAAGTAACAAAACAATAATTAAATGTATACACAAAGTAATTTTTAGGTATGTCGAAAAAAGCTCGATGCAACAAAATTTAAGTCTACAAATGTATTTTGTGGTTGAAAGAATTTCGTATACCCCACCAACGATTTTTGTCGCAGTTGCAGGGAAGAGGTGGAGACCGTTGAACACTATCTCTGCAATTGTCCGCCTTGGCCAACAACAAGTACTTTCTAGATTGTTTAGCCGATTTGAACTCGGCGAATGTTCTCGATTTTTTGTGCTATATAAAACGCACTCGGCGGTTCAATTACTAAGGAAGGGAAAGAAACTAATGGTTTCGGCCAGAGGTATCACATCGCGCTTTTTCAGTCCACGTGTGCTCCGCGCTCTGTGCGGGGCAGCCACTCCAACCTAACCTAACCTAAAACTAGGGAATGCAACCACTTTAAAAGTTAAAGCTCCGCTCTCTTCCCAGCCCCCAGCCGCGGGCCAATGAATATAATCCAAGCATAATGTTACAAAAAAACAACAGCTACTGAAGTAATGGACGTGATTCAAAATATCCTCCTCATGCTCACTCTGAAAAATTAAGAATACAATGGTCTCACCATCGAATTTACGGCCACACAAGACGTTGGCAGCCCTAACTAGCCATTTGGCGCTTGACTTAGATTGCTAAGTCCGTTGACTCCGTTACTATGAATCGGATGTAATGCAATGGCAAAGCAGTTCGCTTTACTCCTGGTATGCGTTCCCGGGACCAATCAGGAAATAAAAACTTACACGAGCATTAGTGGGATACTTTTGTTCCACTTTCACAAGACTGGAAGAGGAAAGCTCATATTAAGGGATCAGTGACCACTTCCCCAAAGGTTATGTTAGAATTCCACTGCTGCAATACAAACTCAAATAGATTCAACAATAAAAATAACTTTACGCTTACACTTTTGCTTAGTATTTGGCCGTGCTCCTCCTCCAATTTATTGTGTGCGTCTGGATATTAATACACAAATGGAGGGACCTACAGTTCTACGCCGGCTCCGAACGGCGATTGTATTTTTATGAGAAGCTGTTTTTCATGGCAAAAATACACTCGAAAGCTGGCCATTACCTCCTTTTTTGTTACTTTGGCTTGCGGAAATCGGCACATTATATATTTCCCCAAAATCCTTGAATAGTTTTCGAGAATGTCAAGGAAACGCTGTTTTTTTATAAGTTTGCGACCTTTGCGTCACGCCCAAATCGTCGGGTTATTGAAAAGCACACGTTACAGAGTGTAGTTAACCCAACATACAATAACCTGACATGGTAAAGTAAATCTGAGCCCACTGTGCGTCCGGTCCCACATAGAGTGTTTAGATTTGGTGTAGCTACTCAGCAGGCTGTAAAGGTTTGAGTAAAACATCGAGGGCCCTACTTTAATTTAGGAAGTTATAGGTCACGTCTCAGCTTCTGACTTCTGGATCCGAAAGTTTTCTTGCACCTTAAATTGGTTTTGAGGGTTCACAATATATCGTTCATGAAATGTTGAAAGGACCTTCACTAATGGTTTTTCGGAACTGACATTTTAGTAAGCTTATACCAAAGTAGCTATCCTCTATAAGTTTTAGAGCCAATCTTATGGCGCCTTTAAAAAAGCCTTCTGAAAGAATTGTATTTGTTAACATTATGTTTTTTACTGCTTCTTCAAAAATTGAAAACACACATATGTACATACATATTTTTGTTCCTTAAACTCTTTTGCAGAAAAACCAGATCCCGACTATCAAAAAGATGTGGATCTACGAGTTCAGTACGCCTTAGTTGCCGCGAAGAAAGCTAAACTCGTTGATAAAGGCGATTCCGTGGTAATAGTATCTCCATGGAAAGAAGGCACAGGTTTCGCCAATAATCTGCGTATTGCCTATGCGTTCTTCGAATCCCAGAAAATTGAGTATCTAGCAAAGCGAATCAATGCGAATGTAAAAAGCAAAACTACTATATATCGTGAGAGTTAAGACAACTGATTCATATGCATACAATTTAGTTATTTATATTTTTTCATCAGCTAATAAAAAAATGTATAAAAAAATGGGCAAATTTAATCTGGAATTCGTAATTTTTTAAGTCTTGAAAGGTTACTAACTTTATTCGCATAACGGTGAATATGCGTATTCACATTTCATACGGAAGTACCAGTGTTCGATATATGTCGCAATCGTTTTGCAGAAGTGGATTGGTAGCATTTACGCCAAATTCGTCATGAGTTCGTTGCGCCACACCTTATAAAATGCCTCTGCGACGTCAGCCGAACATATTTTATGTTTTCAAAGGACTCTTCAGATGAAGCCGTTATCTTACACAGTTTTACGTAACCTATTTACTTTGCAAAAGTTTAGATAGCACTGGAAGTAACGATATTGGACGAAGCGATGATAGATCTTCAATAGGTTTCCCCAGTTTGGGAGTCATAATAAGTTTCGTGATTTTCCAGAATTGTCATACATACGCCAAGTTGAAGAAGGAGTTGATTATAATTGCCAACTTCTGGATACAGTCCTTGAGCAGTTTGTGCAAGACTTCTACTGTAACTAAGCCACAGTCGGAAGACTTTTTAACTTAAGTTTTCTAATTGCTTTACTAACTTCGCGTATAGAGACTTTGGTGTTGAAAATTAGTAAGTGGTGTGGAATTTTGGCATAAAATATAACATTTAAGATATTTTTGGAAAATCGACGTGGTCCTTTTATGATGAATTATGCTTTATTATCAGTAGCCGCTTTACCAATTCCCACAAAACTCGGTACGAACATTGCTTAGAGTCTAACTAAGAAATATGCTGAACATTTTTAAAACTAGAGAAAAGTTATGCCCCCTACCCGTATAACGGTCATTTACAAAAATAGGAAAGCTGCGATAAATCTCTAGAGCTTATTGCCACCAAATATCTTAGCAGTAAATCACATTATTAAAAATTTTTGGTAAATTAGGTGTAATTTTATGATTTATCAATTTCTACCAAACTCGGTACTGGTACAAAAGAAAAATATGTTGAAGAATTTTGAAATCGAAATAAAATTACGCGTACTCAGCACCGATATTTTAATAACCAAAGAAACGTAAATGGGGTAAATTTAATTTCTTAACAGGAAATATGAAATATTATTATAGATTTGACATTGACTCAAACTAGTGACCATTTGTTAATTTTTTTTTTGAAATATTCGTAATGTTTTTCGAGCTATTTTTTTCCTATAAAAGTACCGTTCGAGCTTTAACAAAAATCATATAAATCACAGCTTCGAACTTTGTTTATTAATTTTCACTAAAATTTCAGCTTTATTTTCTGAATCTTTAGACTGAGGCTGATCGATTTCGCCGGGGCCCGAAACATGGTAGTATGCAGTACTATGTACTCATGTTGTGATACACGGAAGGCATGCTTCCAGTGTATTAGACGTACGTACACTACAAACATCAACTCGGACGACTATCTTCCCAGTGGGAAAATGTAATGTATAGTAATCGAAAAAATAATCATTAAAACAACCCTTTTCATATTCGAAAATGTATTTTTTCCCCAGGGCGATGTCCTAAGAAAAGTGGGGCATTCAATTACCTGTTATAGAGAAACGAATATGTTTTAATATTAAATTTTTTGTACTTTTTGAATACATTGGAATGCTGATTACATAGTTAGCAGTAATATTATCGAGAAAGTATAAGAAATACATTATATTATTTATCACGCATGTAATGCATTACTACTTTGCCGACTGGGTTGTTGCGGCCAAGATAAGCACACGCCTCTGTGCAGCAAAAAATGTGCGCCCAAATATGGAATGAAAGCTTCACGTCGAAAAGCTGCAATCATAAGAGACAGCCAATGCATTCGCTACTCGACACTCACACTTGCTCTCATCGAGCACTCCTCAACAAACCGACATATGCGAGCAGTGGAACCACATCTCCGGCTTATTAAGTACCGCCGCCGAAGAAGTAGTCGGATTTCAGCGAGTCCCAAAGAACAACTGGTATGATGAGGAGTGTCAGGAAGCTTCAGAGAAAAAAAACGCCGGCTACAGGGCCATGTTGCGATCGGGCGCCGCACGCGCTATGTGGGACCGATATAGGGATCTGAAGAAGGAAGTGAGACGTATTTGCCGACGTAAGAAGAGAGAGTGCGGAGAGCTTGAAATGCTGGCCGACAGGAAGAATACCCGAAAAATTTACCAGAGAGTTAGACGACTTAAGGAAGGTTTCAAAACCAAGGCGTACTCCTGTAAGAACAAGAATGGTGACCTAGTTACCGAAGTTCATAACATACTCAAATTATGGAGGGAACACGTTTCCACCCTACTGGATGGTAGCAGAACGGAAATTTGTGGAAAAGAAGAACCCGAGCCTCCAGTCGATGATGACGGAGTCGCTGATCCACCGCCTGACTATGACGAGGTACGAATACCAATAATACGGTTGAAAAACAACAAAGCGGTTGGAGCTGATAGCCTGTCAGCTGAGCTATTCAAGTACGGTGGTAACAAAAACCGCGAAATCTATTCTGCCTTTTCCAAGTTGGATAAGGAAGCAAAGGGAATGGGTCTGGTGGTAAACGAGGACAAGACGAAGTATCTCCGGTCATCAAACAAACAGTCAGCACATTCGCGCCTTGGCACCTACGTCACTGTTGACAATTATAATTTCGAGAAAGTAGGGAATTTCGTTTACTTGTCAGCCAGAATTAACACCGATAACAATGCCAGCCTGAAAATCCAACGCAGAATCACTCTTGCCAACAAGTACCACTTTGGACTGAGTAGGCAGTTTAGGAGTAAAGTCCTCTCTCGACGTTCGAAAACCAATGACAACATCCAATGAGGCGGCTCTTGCAGTAGTTTCTTTCCATTTGGTAGGTTGGTAAGCTTGATTGGATTTTGGTAAGTTTCGGGACAATGAGTTATAGTTATTTGTGAAAAATATTTAGAAAATATGTATCTCCAAACATTTTAGCAAACTCTTTTATACGAATATATTACCGGTGCGTTCGTATAACGCCGGCCGCAAACATGTAAATATACCTGATTACTAAGTTCAAACGCATACCCTTATTATTGCCAGTATACAATACGAACATCCATATGTCGGATCCTAAGGGTGAACAGGTGCCAATCCATTTTTTGAAATTCTTCAGGAGAGACGAAAAATCGACGTAGTTTCGTATTACCTGTCATTCTGCATCAAAAACTAAACTTTGAAAAGAAAAAATGGACTTGGTACCTTTTCACCTTAGGTACCGATATAATTTATGGTGTACTTGGACCAAGATTCCAGAAAAGTCTGCAAATGGGTTCGTACCCAACCATATTCCAGGCGGAGGTCTTCCCAATCGAAGTCTGTGTTCCCGAATGTCATCGCAGAAGGCAAATGAGGCTATAATAAATATTATGTCGGATATTCAGGCAGCGTTAAGGGCCTTAGAGTCTTTTAAAACGGCAACAAGACTTGTGAACTCTGGAACCACCTGGGAGCCCACAACAGCGTAACGCTGTGGAAGGTTGAGGGACATGAAGGGTTTGAAGGCAAAGAAATGGCAGACTGTCTAGTAAAGCGTGGAGCCCAAATGCGTTTGATCGTCCCGATCTTTTCTGCGGTACATCCAAATGATACACTGCAGACCTACTTATACTGAGGGAAATAATGCATAGTAAAAATTAATACTTTATATTTGATTATCGTTCAAAAATGTTCGTATTTAAAAATAATATTTGCATACAAAATTTATTACGCACGTATTTGAGTGTTCACATCTGAGTATGTAAATGAAAGTGTACATACGCACCCCAAGCATGAAGAGCGCTGCTCTGAGAGCGGTAACAACACACACATACATATATAGTACAAATCGCGTGCTGTTGTGTTGATGGATATTCAACATTTGAAAGCAAATTTATATGTCTGGTTGTAGCTGAGTGCGCAAAGATGATTGCCAGAAGTTGTTGATATCCGGAGTTGGTCGGGTTCGAATTCCACTGTAGGCAACATGCAAATAAAATTTTTTTTTAGTTTTTGTCTTGATTATTCACTTCACGGATGCTTTTTCAGTGCGAACGCGTTCATTTTAATATGCACGTAATTGAATTGAATATTTACCGTACTTTTGTTGACGTTTATAGTAAGATCAATTACGCATAATAAAAAAATAAGAAGGTAGAACCGCTGAGAGGAATTTTTCATATTCTTGACGTTTGCAAGCATTTTAATTTTAAAATTTTAGACACAAGCTCACACACACATTCTCATTTTCAATCTCAAACAACAACAGCTTTGAAAAATTCCTTTTTTTTACTCTCAATTTTATATGATTTTAAAATGTTGGCCGACGAATTGAGAGAACGGTTTTACCAAGGCATATTCAACAAGGTAGAAGTGAAAACAGNTTTTGATATTTTTTCCCCTCAGTGTAGGAGCTAGCTGGGAATAATCTCAAACTGCTACTCACTGGTGGAAGTAAAAAGGGAATAATACAATCGAAGAGATTCATGACTATTTCCAAGAGGAACTCCAAAAGACACCTTGAACTTAGAACTCTTACTGGCGGACTCTTAGAGACGGCCTGTAGGTTTTGAGGGCTGGTGAAGGAAACCTCAGAGTATATTCTATGTGTCTGTCCACGAAACATGAATCGTAGATTAATTCACCCTGGAGAACGATTGTCTTCTGCATTTAAAATTTGGAACATGGCATCATCCAAAGTGCTGAGCTTTTTAAATAGCCNCTATGTGTCTGTCCACGAAACATGAATCGTAGATTAATTCACCCTGGAGAACGATTGTCTTCTGCATTTAAAATTTGGAACATGGCATCATCCAAAGTGCTGAGCTTTTTAAATAGCCTAAGTTTGGAGTGATTACATTTAGGATTTAGCAAAATATATCTGTTTAGGTCGCAGCGCGGTATCTCGGGGCGCTCGGGTCTTTTGACGACGAAAAAGGACGCGTAAAAAAAATTTGCGAAAAAAACGCGTAAA